GTTGATTAGGAAAGGCTTTCAATCAGGCAAGGGTGACACCGCCATATAACCTCTCAATGCTGAATTGAAGAGAGGCCTATGTCCTGCAGTGGAATGAATGACTGTTAAACAAAGAAAGAAAGAAAGAAAGAAAAAAAGAAAAAAGAAAGAAAGAAAAAAAAAAAAAAAAAAAAAAAAAAAAAAAAAAAATATATATATATATATATATATATATATATATATATATATATATATATATATATATATATATATATATGTTTACACACACACACATACACACACACACACATACACACACACACACATACACATATATATATATATATCTGTATGTATGTGTCTGTGTATATGAATCTAAATATATGCATGTATTCATTGCATGTATGTATATGTTTATGTATTTTGTATATCCATATCTATATATATATTCATATCTATATGTATCTATCTATTTATATCTTCATCCATCTCTCTTTCTATATATCTATCTATTTACCTGTCTGTCAATCCATCTGTCTATCTATAAGTTTATGTGCATCTACTTTCGTTCCTTCAACTGGACCAAATCTGATCTTTTCCAAACCCTGCAGATGGCACGCGAGGAGACCAAATACCCGCCGGTGCCAGAATACGTGGAGCCAGTCGAGAGCAAGTGCCGTAGAACACCTGATGCCTCTGTCTTTGGTGGCACTGTTACCGGCGTAGGTGCCAGGAATGCCCCCGTTCTGCTCGGAACAGCTGTCGCTCTCATGTGGGTTTTTGCGATGCACTAACATGTATGGCGTTGATTTGAGGGTTTCTTGCAGCAGAGTTTAGTTTGTTATTTTGAACTGTACAAATATGCGTCGCGTAGGACTATGTGCATAGACTTGCACACAAGAAAAAACACAAGAAGTACATACACTCTCGGATACATGCACATACATAATTACACGCACACACGTACGCTCATATATACAGTATACACGTATGCGTGTGTATGTACACACACATACATATATACCTCTCTCTCTCTCTCTCTCTCTCTTTCTCTCTCTTTATATACATACATATATATATATATATATATATATATATATATATATATATATATATACACACACAGGCACTCATATAAATGGAAACACGTACACGTATGCTCCATAATCTTCCAAATACATTACTTTTTTTGATGTGTCAATAAATATTTTCAAGAAGTATTTCGTCTCTCTACCCATTTAATGCTGTCCTTTAGATATCAAAAGACGAGACACTGTACAAGGAGATGGCAGTGTTATGAAGCGTGATGTCGAAGGCGAAGATAAATGGAAAGGGTAAAAATAAAGAGAAGTGAATTACTGGTATTATCTTTTGTTACGATGTACATCATTATATTCGTTAGGAAACTGGAGGTATTGATATGGTTAGACCTTATTATCACTATAATGATTATTAATATTACTGTTGTCATTACTATTATTATTATTGTTATTGTTATCATCATCATCATTATAATTATCATCATAATCATTATTAAAGGAATAGCCTAGAACTGGTGCACTATTTTACATCCACAGTTGGCTTAGGTTAATATTTATCCATTAATAAAATCAAATTGAAAATTTAGACTCGGATAATAAAAATAAACATGATTTTGTAAGCCCACAAAATTCGTCTGCCTCAAAAACGACCAGTGGCGCCACCACGTCGTGTGACGTCATACCTTGTATAGCCATTGTCCAACAACATGGCGAGCAACAAGATTACAGCAGTTCCAGTGAAGTTGAAAGTGAAAGATCTATTGATTCTGTGTCTATTATTGTTATCATTATCCTTATTATTATCATTATCATCATTATTATCATAATCATTATTTGTTGTTAATATTATCAATATCATTATCATTATCGTTCTTATAATCATCACTATCATTATTGCTATCATCATTATCATTGTTACTGTTGTTATTTGTTGCAATTATTATTATTATCATTATTATTATTATTATTATTAGTCTTATTCTATGATATTATTATTATCTTATTAATATTATTATCATTATTATTATTTTCATTATCATTATCATTGTAGTTCTTATTATCATTATTATTATTTTCATAATCATTATCATTGTAGTTCTTATTATCATTATTGATATTACCATTACTATCAATATTTTTTTTTTATTTTTATTAATGCTGTTACAATTACCATTAATAATAATAATATTAAAAAAAAACAATCGTTAATATTTTATCATCACCACTATTTTAACTAGTAGTAGTAGTAGTAGTAGTAATACCATCATTATTATCATTATTACTATTATTACTACTGTTATTTTTGAAAAAAAATATTATGATCATTATCATTATTGTTGATATTATATCATCATCATTGCCAATATCATTACGATCTTTATTATCATTACCATTATCATTATTACTATCATCATTATCAGCACAATTGTTATTGTTACCAATATTATCATCAGTATCATTAGTATCTATATCATTATTAT